GTGGCGGTTATAGTAGTAATAAACACCATGGTTTGATCTCTTGCATTGTTACGGTTACACAGACTAACACTGTTCTTCCCTCAATCGTATTGCACGTCGTTGGCACTTCTGCCCACTTGCCACTTACCAACATACACGTATGTGTAGCGAAGGGACTTAGGAGGTCCTCTGTCGTTTCATTCGGTCACTCCGATTACTTACTTGGATAGTGCTTTAAAATAAACCATAAGAACTTCTTCCTAATTTCAATCTACTCAAGCTTCATGATTCCTACTTCTCTAATTTAACGGTTTAAAATTTTTACAGTTTCAACTGTGTCGTTAAAGAACCATTAAGAAATAAATTACATTTACTTGTATGTACGTTATTTACACATATAAACACTGCAGAGTAAAGAATAATATATTCATATGTAATATTACACTCAATGTAAAAAAAATATATTAATTAAAATTGAATTCTATACAATACAGTACATTGGTTACTATATTTATTTCAAGATACAAAATATATTTATTCTGCATACAGATTTTATTTATGAGTTTCATATGACTCTCAGAATTAACTTGGATTATTTCCCTAAACAGGATTAACCAACTCAGTCTCTGTAACTGAGTTAGCTGTGTGTTTCATACGCGGTAGGAAATTAATTTTTAAACAGACCTCAGATGAGTTTCAGTTTTCAAACGCTGGAATGTAACGCGATCTTCGGATATTCTTAACGGCATATCTGGAACAACTTCAGTTTAAAACGGAGTTCACTGGTTTTAATTATCACCTGCCCGGTGTGGGTATGTGTATTTGTGTGAAATTTGACAACGTTACAAGAAAAAATTGTAATTAAAGCCTCTCTTGTTTCTGTAATTCAGAAAACAGATTGTTTCCATTTGCAACCTAGTCACGTGTCAGGTTTATGTTTCAATTGAAGCTCGCAGTTTCTTTGCAGACACTTGACAAGTGAAGCAGAGATGTGAATTGTCCCAGCCTCTCCTTTTCCGCCATTGTTTTAGCAGAAAGGTAACTGCTACATGCAGACACATGTACTTA